TATATATATATAATTATTATACTAATATAATTTGCTGTCACTTGGCAAAGTGTACACGTCACTCAACAATGCATGTGGCGGCGCCTTCTTTCATATAATCCATAACAATCTATTTCACGTGCTTATCGTAAAAAGGAATTTCTTTTCACTGTAGTCTAATTATGCATGTCATCGTTGTTATCTGTGCGTTATCTTTGTTAAATGATAACTGAAATAAGCGATAGTGGGGAAGATCTCTATACTTACACTTATCGCGCAATTATCGTAAAGTTTCGTTGAATGGTGGAACTTTATTGTTTTCCAATTTTTAACATGGCAACGCGGACGACCAAACTGTGAGTGAAATTGTTTGAATGATTTCGTTCGCAGTTGCAGTTTCGCCGTAAGACGCAAGTGTGACGCTCCGCGCGATCGTCGGATCGCATCTAGAGTGACAATCGCGAGTTTCTAGATCATATTGATCGACGTACAAGGTATGTGATCGAATGACAAATATTTTTTGTTCCTGATCTCGCGTTATTTTTATAAGCATTCGTGATTCACTTCACGTCCTAATTCACTTTTCAGTTTTATCGTTCGCAAGCAGTTCGCTGACTCGCATTAAGCAATCTGCACGAACCTGAAGCGTTTCAAGAAGTGACTCGGATTTTTCTGGATATATATATTTTACTCTGGATTGAACTTGAGCTCAAAACACACAGAAGCATCTGAACAAACGATGGGTTGACACGAGTTTAAATATTTCCATTTGCGTTTGGGCATCCTCAGTACATCATGTGCGAGGCTTAATACAACGTGAAACAATGTGATCATTTCACTTCGAGCGATGTACGATGATTTACGAATCGATAAATTTGGTGCCAGGAAATTTTTTGGTGCGATGATTTACGTCTTTTTGTCTCCTAATCGCGCGAGAGTCGTTTCCTAGAAATACAAATCAGGAAAAATACAAACAAGATGTGAAATGCAGCGTTTTAACTTCAACTCGAGAGTCGTTTATCACCATAAATAAGTAGTATACTATATACTTGCGATAAGCCGATAGATTAATAACGACTACGAGGGGAAAATTTGTCTCTCCGACTGTCTCTCGTATCCAGCATGTTCTTTCTGATTCTGTTGGTATGTATATCACCTCGCTGATAATTAATAACTCGCTCGGCGATTGTCGATGATATAATTTTATGCGTTTTTTTTGTGGATTTAATCAGCGGCGAAACAGCTGTCCGCTCACCGGTCGCTGTCGAGGACTCGGACCTCTTGTTAAGTCGCGCGTTGTTAATTATTGCCGCTGCGAAATTAAAGCCGCAGAACGACTTTAATTCCGAGGGAAATAGAGATAGGCACTTCAGGCACGCGTTTCGTCATAGACGAAGGGGTGAATCCGCTTCGCTCGGAAAGTATATATCTATAATGCGAATTATTCAGGATGCGGATTGCTCCGGCCGCATGCTGGCTATCATCCTGATCGCGTGGGTGACGACGGCAATGATAGCCTCGATATTACTGCAATGGGAGCACATGTGGGTTGTTTTGGTGGTGCTGACGGTGCTCTTCTTCCTGGTTTGCGGATACACCGTCTACACCGTGAAGAGAGCTCACGCGAGAGTCCTGTTCGAGCAGCAAAGAGCGACGATTCGGACCATCTCGGACATTACGACCGCCAATCATAGACAGGTATTTTTCTTCAACTTCTCGAAGACATCTCTCACATATCGTACTGGAATAAATCGCAGAAGAAGAAAATATTACGATATTATTGAAAACGTAAAAAGTTTTACATTTTGTCGGGAAATGTTGGAGTTGGAATATCGAAGCAGTATTTGTTATGTAAATTAACAGTCAGTTACGTGTGTATTTTTATCACTCGCATTAATATAAATTACAATGCACATTGCAAGAATTATGTAAGTTTTAAACGTTTCTGCAAAAATAAAAGTGTACAACGTAATATTTTTAATAATGCATTGATTTTTGTTCCAATTAAAAAATTACTAAGTACATCGATATTGTAATTTTTGTAATGACAAAAGTAAAGTGGAATGTTAGATGATTTGTATAAAAAGTATGTTTTACTAATAAGATTTATTAATATAATTTTATATTTACGTAATTTAATCAGCTCATGTAGAATGAAAATTTTTTACTTTCCTTCCGCGGTAGATACGGCGCTTCAAAAAAGAAAGTATTTAAATTCGCATTTTTTTGCAGGCAGAATCGTCGGCATACGTAACGCGCCTAAATGCGGATTTACCGCCGTCTTATATGTCCGTGATATCCGTTCAGGGGACATTGGCGCCTCAGTCATCGGTGGTTACCGATCTATCTGGCGAAAATAAATTCGAGGATCCTCCGCCCTATTCAATCGCGATCGCTTCCATGAATATGCAAGAGCGAAACGCAGAAATCTTGGGTGCACCACACGCACCATCCACTGTATCTACAAAAAAGTATAACGCTGCTGCTCCCGCTGCTTCTCTTGCAACCGTATCTCTAACATGTTCGAGATAATTTAAATTATTCCCACAGATAAGAATAATTAGCATTAAAGTCTCGAATGAGAGAAAAATGCAAGAAGACGAAAGGAAAGCGAAGGAAAGCAATTTAAAATTTGTAATGAAAGCGCCTTTGCTTTGAATGAAAAATTTACTATATTTTTTGTTACGATATTTACCTGGATCATATATTACGATGAGATAATTTTTGATTGAATTTGTATTTGTTTGCGTTTCATTCTTTGCAGGCAAATTTTTTTATAGCGTTACAGGCATTTGTAACTTTCATCGCCAAAATAAAGACTGAGACCATATTGTAACAATTGACCTCTTTTCAGTATTGTTCATATTATATGAAAGAAAAAAACTCAAACAGTGTGCGTATGCCTAAAAAAATTATTTATTAATATGCTATTAATACGTTTGAAAGTTATTTTTTACAAAATTTTTTGAAGCATATATAGTTATTTATTATTATTAATTGTAACATTTATGGATTAAAATATATGTGGCATAGTCGATCTAAAAACATCATTATTGTTTTCATTACAGATAAAAAGAAATAATATTGTTATCAAGTCATTATTGAAAAATGTAATTGTAACGATAACAATATAATTAATAATGCATTATTTCTTAACTCTGATCATATTTATTTCAATTCATTCGAGTTTCGAAAACCATAGTAAATCATGAATCATATTCTATGTGTTTGAAATGATTATTTGTTTTTTTTTTAACATTTAGACAACTTATGCTTATTTTATTCATCTGATGCTTATTTTATTACATTTGAATAAATTTAAGAGAAAAACAGTATCCTAAATATATTATGAAAGTAAAATATTTTTTGAGAAAAAAATCGAAGGAGAGAGAGCGTTACACTTCCATAGATTTTATAATACTGGATACACTTTAGATGGAAAGAGACGGTAGATGTGTTGTATCTTCTATCCTTCAGTTTCCGAAAGTACATACGTTAAAGAAGGACATAAGATATTGCTCTCTTATTCTATCATATGGAAGGACAGCACATTATTCTCTCGCTCCATTAACCTAGACCTCAATTTTAGTCAGAAGGCGATGGAAGATCTATGTATTTACCTTCGCAAGTACAGATGAGAAATTGTCATACCCACGGAAGGTAACAAGCCTCATGGGTGCGATGGACGTCGGATGACTAACTCGATACATTGGAAACGGCACGCGAGGCGCGGCATTTATCCCCGCGGCCCCGCGTCACGTCATTCGTTGTTGATCCGCGTCATCGGCGTGCATCGGCGCGCCACCGATCGCGCTGCGGAATTGTGTTCTCTCGGCGCGGGTCGTAGCTACGGCGGGACTCCTGTAGCTTTTTCTTTCTTTTCGTTTATTCGACAGGTAAAAACTTCTCGTTCTCGGCGAAGATGCGTGCGGTGATCCGTGAGTCTAGTCAACAGTAACCAATTTCCAGACCGAAGTTGCAGAAGAGAAAGAGAGAGGAGAAGGAAAAAGGTGGTGGAAGATCAAACGCGAGTGACACAATCATCGTTTTTGACTGCGGTCTGTTGCTGCAGCGGAATATCCGCACGAGGATCTCGTTCGAGGGTGGATAGAGACGTTTCCTAAGCGCTGGGCGATGGTACGATGACCGCTCTTGGGTGTCTTGTGTACGCATTCGCCGTAGCGGCGAGTTCGCTCGCGTACGCCTGTAAGTACCACAACGCGAATCGCTATGGTGGCACGAGCCGTAACTTCCTGGCACGACCCAACCCATCTCGGGGATAACATGGCGCGCAACGGGTACTCGCGCGTCATGCGCGAGTACGAGACGTATGAATGCGTCTCGTCTGGGCGCGTCACACGCACGCCGGATTGTGTGATCCACTTCAGGCGTTATTTGTATCAACTTTAATTCAGGCTGATATTCTATTTTTAGCTTCTTCGCGCAATAACGTTTCCGAAAGTCAAAGAGCGAGACATGTTAAAATGTATATATGCAGATACATGACGTAAAAGATTGTAGATAGAAACCTGTTAGATTTCTGTCTGAGAGTACAGATTGCCTAGAATAGAATTTTATATTTTGTTACGCTAGTTACATTGTAGTATACGTATTACATATGTATGATTATTGGTTACTTGATAATTCAAACTTCGAACATGAGACGTCTTTAATAATGTCTTTAAAAATATCTTTAAGAAGCCTGTTAAATGTCTTTAAGACGTCTTATGTTCAGATTTTGAGCTTTGTATTGTCTGGATATGGTTTCTCTCTGTAGTATGTTTTGTTTCTGGGTAGCCAGATATGTGTCGAGAACTGATTTCACAAAATTCTGCTGCACACAGTGCCAACAGAAATATAAAGAGACTCAGATATAATGAACAAGAATAAGGAATTAAGAATAGAAAATATTTTTCAATCAATGAAAAAATCTTTTGGTATTTTTTATTCTAATTCTTTATATTTAATTTCTTGCTCTTTATTCCTTTTATTATGTTTATATTATAATAGAACCTGCTAACAGAATATGATGGATTAATCATGGAAAATTGAAAAATTGAAAAAGCGATTAATCATTGGAAAATTGCCTATTCCTTATTGCATTGAACTGTATTAAATTTTTCTCTCATTTTCGTCAAACTTCGAATATTTATTTTATTTCAAGTACAATATATGTCTATAGTTCAGCTATAATCAACAGATTCTTCAAATAGGATCTGTCAGTTTGTAATATCATTTAAATTGATATAATCTGACAGTAAATGTCAGCAGAAACCGAGCATCTGTCGTTTTATAATCATTTAAATCAACTATATCATTTAAATCAACTATATCATTTAAATGAGTAAAATATAAGTAAGACTGTAAGTATGTGTGTGACAGATTCTGCTCGATTCACTGCCAGATATCAGCAAGTTTCATTGATAGAAAATGTGAAATTATGACAATTTATCATGATGCCAATCTGCCACAATCTGCCGTTCGGTTTGAATTGCCGTCAAATTGCTTGCATATTACTAATATTTCGTTTACTTGTTCTTTTTATAGAATATTCTAAAAAATATGAATACCTTTAATTGTTAATAAATTTAGTCCTTATTCTCTTTCAATTTCATAATTATTATATATAATTTTATTTTAATCCTATATTTAATTCTAAATTTAATAATTTTTATTAATTTGATATTTTAAATTTAATTAAATACTATAAATTAATTTTGCATTGTTATATTGCTCAATAAATCCAAAAGAGTTTTTGCAATAAACATCCGTATGTTACTCTACCAAGAAAATGTTTTATAATACTTTTATTTTTATATAAAAAATATGATATTCAGACAAATACTTGAAACAAATTATAATTATTCTTTAGATGACGACGAGTGCAACATTCCTCTCTTGGACAGAGCTCAATTAACAGCAACATCTTCCTTGCCAGAAAGAGGACCGAACAATGCTAGGCTAAATGGTAAGGAAGAAACGCTTGAACACTCTACTTTTCATTTCTTCTTTTTATTTTTAATTTTTATTTCCTCTTTCTTATTTTTATTCCAAGCCTCTTTCATTTGTTAGGCATCATTATTGTACAATATATATACTTTATATAACCATATAATGTATATACCTATATGGTACTAGTAGTAATTTGTTGCTTGCTGTTTATTCTACATCTATGAAGTCGTTATGTATATTGTGCACTATATTTGCTTCTGTTTGCATTAATAATAGTTACAAATTCTGCTAATACTATGCGAAATTCCTAAAGAAAAAAAAGAAGTGATGGTAAGAGTCAAGAAATTTAATTAGTACTATAGCGGACACTGCCCGCTGCGACGGTCACGCTCAATTACAAGAATTAGGTGAGCCAATATATGCTCACTCCATGTATGACGCACCGTCCTCCAATCGTTCGTCTCGTCATTTTATACTCATCTCGTCATATAGTATTTTAAGTGGAAATACTTATAGCATAATAACAATCCCTTAAATTAGAGATGACACGAATGCAGCATAATAAATTTATATTTGCTTCAGGTGGATCCTAGCAAGTAGCCTGGAGAGTATCTACAAAAAAAAAAAAAAAAAAAAACCAAGGAGCTTTCGAAAAGCGTTGCTTTTATAATCAGAGGCGTATGATCTAAGAAATATAACCAACTGTGATTCCAGATTGGCCAAAGAGTGGAACGCGCGAGTTGTGATTAAGCGATTTAATTGGTTATGCTTAACGCTAATATCATTAGAATGTCGTCGTCCGTTCGTTGGGCATTTAATTGGAAAGAGTGGAACCCGAACGAGCGGGAATTTGGGCAGGCGGCTTCCTGTATACAGGTCGACGAGAAGGAAAGGCTAAAGAGATTTGTATTTCGCAAGGATGTCCGCGCTTCCCTTGTTGGTAGATTATTAATGAGAAAGTTCGTAAATGAATACACCGATCTTCCGTACGACAAAATCACTTTCGTCAGAGACGAGAATAACAGGCCTGTATTGAGACATTCCGTCGCCGTGAGTTTCAATGTTTCTCATCAAGGTTCATACACGGTATTAGCGGGCGAGGCTAGGGACGTGAAAATGGGTGTAGACGTTATGTCGTTAGATTATAGCGAGCGCAAAAGCATTCCCGATTTCTTTCGTCTGATGAACAGACATTTTTCGACGGCCGAGTGGGAGGAGATCAAAGATTCGGGCAAATCGGAAGCGGAGCAGATGTTCATGTTTTATAGGCATTGGGCATTAAAAGAGAGCTACGTTAAAGCGCTCGGTGTGGGGGTTTTTGCTAATCTAGGGAGTATAGATTTTCAAACGAAATCGGGATTAAGTGAGGGTTCGATCACAACCGATACGGTCTTGCATGTCAACGGGATCAAGCAACAAAATTGGTTATTCGAAGAGACTTTGCTCGATTCGCGACACTGCGTTGCCGTAGCGTTGCAAGAAAACGGCTCATCACGATTACACAATATCCCATTCGAAATAATGAATTATGATAAGCTTATGACGCACGCGGTTCCATTATTTCCAATAGATTCGCAATACACGATTCAATATTTCGCTAAATATGAACAGCCATAGTTCTATTAATTATTTATAAGATAATATCGCCACGCGTGAAAGTAATGTTTTTTAATGTTTTTAATGTTTTTTATGTCAGTAAGGGAAAATGGATATTATATATTGTACATTATATAGTTTAACTACAAAATAATAAAATACTAAATAATACTTTGCAATTTTTTTAATTACCTTACAGACTGAATAATTTCCCATGCGTAAAATATTACAATACAAACAAATTGCAAAGAAAGAGATTTTACTATTTTCCAACTTTTGTATAGATTTTTATAGACACAAAAGAAATATAATTAAGATTTTTTTTTATAATTGACGAATATTACTTTGGAACATGAATCCACATTTTCCTTGTGAATTATCATAATGTCTGAAAAGTTTTAAAAAATATTTCTGTTTCTTATTGCAATCTAAAAGGTATGAGTTTGCGATGCACATGTTTGATATTATCATATAAATTAGCCTCTGGGTATAAAAGCAAGGCGTTGTCAGGATTTCTGATTATGTGGCTGTGTTTCTATTCCATTATTCGTAAGCACCTTCCTAAGTTTACTTTGAGTTGCATGCATGCATAAATGTTGTGGTGTAGGCGCAAACGCATGGACGGCTAGCAGTTCTGATTTCGGTCAGTATTTAATAATCGACTTGGGCCAAGTGATGAACATCACAGCTGTGGCGACTCAGGGACGAGTATTGCAGAACGAATATGTTATGGAATATCGTATTAGCTATGGTACCAATGGTCTCGATTACGTGGATTATAAGGAAGAAGAAGGCTACGCAAAGGTAAGCTCCTTCTCTCTTTCCCTCTATCACCGCTTGATTTACTAATCTTTTAATCTACTAATTTCGCTCTTAACAACAGCGACGCTCTGTGTTATTAAATAAAAAATGCAAACTGATAACATAAGGCTTGCTTGTGCATGCTTGTTGTAAACTGTAATGATCCGTGTAAATATGTATAATATGTAAAATATGTAAAATAGTATTGTATAAAAATCTATTTTACTAAATTTTATATCATGATGCTTATGATCAGGTTTATTATCGGTAAGTATCACGATGTGCTTTACATAAACTTACAACTATACTTTGCACCAATTATTTTTTTCTTTTATTCATATCACTTGAACACTTACTTTATTAATTTTTTTTTTTTTTTTTTTTTTTTTTATTCACAACATACGCATTTGGGATGCAAGACAAGATATAATTAAAGAGAAATATTCACATACGATAGTTGAATGTAAAATAATTTGGAAATGCAGATTCATAGCTAAAACGGAATTGTGAATTATCAGTCATCACGAAATAAACCACATTCTTGATCCTTCTACGGTTTTCCTACGTTCATTCATTTTGCTTGCTTCGCTTCTACTTTTCTCCTCTTACACATGGACATGGAGCTGGGCTTTACAGGAGATTCCGCGTGGTCATCAGACTCTAGCAATTACGAGCAACATCTTACTATGGAGCTGGGGGACAGATATGAGATACGCAGCATTGCTACGCGAGGGCGGGCACATACTAATGAATACGTGACAGAATATATTATCCAATATTCTGACGATGGTCAAGCTTGGGCCAGTTATGAAAGCCAGGATGGTGTAGATGAGGTATAAAATATCAAGGATAGAGTCTACAATTTCTCCACTCTTACATATATATATACAGGATTCTTTCACAGAGACACAAACACACAGACACAAGACGTACACATAAAATACGTACACAAAATGTAGAAATCTTTAAAATATTATATTTTGTTGTTGTTATTGAATCATAAAGTTTTTTTTGTTTAGATTTGTAAACTTTCCTGAAAAAGTATATTATGATTTATAAACGAATGTGTATAAACTTTAGTAATTTTCTTTTCATTCCTCTATTTTCGTAATAGTGATTCGGAATGATGATAACTACTGATCACTGATAATAAGCGTCTCATAAACTGTTCTTTCGTAGAAATATTTCGTAGGAATTCTATTAACGAAATGCGTAAAAAAAACTTCTTATATATTTTGAAAGATACTATTTGGAATCTTCTGTTTTAATAATCGCTCTTGGAGTTTGAAAATCTAAATTCATGAATTATTTTGATGTCAATATGATAATAATTTCTGGAGGAACAATGTAAAACTTATATATTACCAAATGTTATTTTTTTAATTCTATTCTATTTGTTAAATAATTCTTATTGTTAAACATATCTTTTCTGTTAAATACATCGTTCCAATAATTGACCAGAACAACAGAAGAGCAAGTTTAGAATATGATAGATTTAATGATAAATGTATTAATGGATGATTTTACTGCTCTGCTATCATTTCATATTAAATACAAATTATCTATTTATCTAATCTAAAAAGAAATCGTACATTTATAGAGTTTATCATACACGCGTTCAAAAATTAGAATAAAAATAGAATATATTTTGCTTCTCTAAAATTTTATCACGATGGCATCATGTATAGCTCCGAGGATTATCATATGCTCTTGGCGTGTCTTTTTGTCACTAACAGTTTGTCACTAATAAACATATTTATGCAATTAATGGTGATTGGGTAGCATTAATTACGTTAATGAAAAATTCGTGATACAAGTGAATGATTAATTATTTTGCCTGATCAACAAAGGCGCGGCAACTAAATGTAACATCTTGTAACTAAAAATTGTAACTAAAAAATTAAATTCTCTATTGTCCTTTTAATATAACAAGATTTTTAAGCTGGTCTGACAAGCGGTGATTCTAATAATAATAATAATGTAGATCTAAGAGATTAACCGTGTCACGCAAACAATTTTTTTTATTTCTGATAACTATTCTCGCGAGTATTTTCTTTTGACTTACAGCATGCACGCAATTTAATCAAAATTCTGCACGGTTGTTGCGACGTTAATTATTGACACTAAGATAGTAAACAGAGAAATATCGATTTAATAACAGCAATGCCGCAAACATTCTCATTCTTCCTTTCTTTCTGCAGATGTTTAAAGGAAATGTAGACGGAGACAGGATAAAGCTTAACAGATTTGAGGTACCGATAATCGCGCAGTGGATCAGAATAAATCCAACGCGATGGCGAGACAGGATATCCCTGAGGATTGAGCTTTTTGGATGCGACTATGGTATAAAATAATAATTATATGATTGTCTTCCAAAAGATAATCAATTTGTAAATCTATGACAACCTATGACAATCATTGTTTTATATTTCAGTGTCTAACGTCGTTTCTTTCAACGGATCCTCTCTCGTACGGCTGGATTTACTCAGAGAGCCCATCGAGACCGACAGACACTTTATACGTTTCCGATTTAAGACAAACAACGCCGATGGTGTAATAATGTATTCCCGCGGCACCCAGGGCGATTACATAGCCTTGCAATTGCGTGACAACAGGATGTTACTTAATATCGATCTGGGATCCGGTGTTATGACAAGTCTATCCGTCGGCAGTCTTTTGGACGACAATATGTGGCATGATGTTTTAATCTCACGCAATCGGAAAAATATCTCGTTCTCTGTGGACAGAGTGCTGATTAAGGGCAGAATAAAAGGACAGTTTCATCGGCTAGATTTAAATCGAGAGGTAATTTTTTTTTTTTTCTTAAGCAAACGTAAGGTGTTTTGACGATCGTTCATGCGAGCGCATTCGATTTAACTCGAACAAATGTTCTCTTTAGCTCTACATCGGCGGTGTACCCAACAAGCAGGACGGTTTGGTGGTGAACCAAAATTTCACCGGCTGTATAGAGAATTTTTATCTAAACGCGACGAATATAATTCACGAGCTGAAGGAGACGGAAATCACGGGCGAGAACTTGCGATATTATAGGGTCAATACACTCTTCACTTGCCCGGAACCTCCAGTGATACCAGTCACGTTCCTAACTCCTGGATCTTACGCCAGATTGAAAGGATACGAGGGTGTACCATCCCTGAACGTCTCTCTCGCATTCCGAACTTACGAGGAGCGTGGAATAATCCTTTATCATGATTTCACGACCCGAGGCTTCGTCAAGGTACGCAATCTTTGTCTCAAATCTTTAGCATAATTCTGTTACATTGCAATTAAATTTTAAATCTATTTTTAATATACAGCTGTACCTGGAAGAAGGTAAACTGAAGGTCGATGTACAGACGAAGGATTATCCATTCGCGACATTGGATAACTTCTATGAAAAATTCAACGACGGAAAGTGGCATCAAATAATCCTGACGATCGCCAAAAATTCGCTCGTCCTAAACGTCGATGGACGACCGATGAAAACGGAACGTCTCCTGGATATGATAACTGGATCGTATTATTTTATCGGTGGCATGATCGGAGTGGGGAGTAATCACGGTTTCATCGGCTGTATGAGGATGATAAGCATCGACGGAAATTATAAATTGCCGACCGACTGGAAGGAAGAGGAATATTGCTGTAAGAATGAAGTCGTCTTCGACACTTGTCAAATGGTGGATCGCTGTAATCCGAATCCTTGCAAGCACTCCGGTGTTTGTCATCAAAATTCTGACGAGTTCTTTTGCGATTGTGCTAACACTGGGTACGCCGGTGCCGTCTGTCACACCTGTAAGTATTCAGCATGCATTAGCGAAATATATGATATTTTTGCTAAAGACGATAATTTTATACAGCATTAAATCCCTTGTCGTGTGAGGCGTATAAGAACATGAATCCCGTAAATCAGCGTGCGGAAATTAAAATCGATGTGGATGGGAGCGGACCTTTAAATCCCTTCCCTGTCACTTGCGAGTTCTTTGCTGACGGCAGAGTAATAACAGTTCTACGACACAGTAATGAACATTCGACCCCTGTCGATGGATTCGAGGAGCCTGGGAGCTTTATACAAGACGTTAATTACGACGCTGACCTCGATCAGATAGAAGCTTTGTTGAATCGATCCATAAGCTGTAGGCAAAGGATAAATTATTCATGCAAGCATTCCAGGTTATTTAACTCCCCAGGTAATTACGTCTTATCTCGTGTCGTGTACCTTTTGATATTTTTGATTAACTTTTGGAATTATTCTAGTCCCCCAAGGCGATTACTTTAGACCGAACTCGTGGTGGGTGAGCCGGAATAATCAGAAGATGGATTATTGGGGTGGTGCATTGCCTGGATCGCGAAAATGCGAATGCGGTATACTCGGAAATTGCGCGGACCCTACCAAGTGGTGCAATTGCGACGCTAATTTAGAAGGATGGTTAGAGGATGGTGGCGATATCACGGAAAAGGAATATCTTCCTGTCAAACAGCTACGTTTTGGTGACACGGGTACACCACTGGACGAAAAGGAGGGTCGTTATATGTTAGGCCCACTCTTTTGCGAGGGCGATGGTTCGTTCAATTATTTTGTTCATTTCAATAAATTGATAGTTGAAATTCGTTGTTAGATTAATTTTTGATTGTATCTTGTTATAGATTTGTTCAAGAACGTAGTCACATTCCGCATAGTGGATGCTACCATCAACTTGCCGACGTTTGATATCGGTCATAGCGGCGACATTTATTTCGAATTTAAAACCACCATCGAAGACGCTGTGATAATTCATAGCAGAGGCCCCACTGACTACATCAAAGTTTCCATAAATAGCGGAAACCAGATACACTTCCAGTACGTCGCTGGTGGAGGACCGCTTACCGTGAGTGTGCAAACGTCTTATAATTTGGCCGACAATCGGTGGCATTCCGTATCGGTGGAAAGGAATCGCAAGGAAGCTCGAATCGTTCTCGACGGAGCGCTAAAGAACGAAGTGCGCGAACCTCCGGGACCGGTACGAGCACTCCATCTTACGTCAGACCTTGTGATAGGCGCCACGACCGATTACAGAGACGGTTTCGTCGGTTGTATAAGAGCGTTACTTCTCAATGGTCAATTGCAAGATCTGAAAAGTTACGCTCGGCGCGGGTTATACGGCGTCACAGAGGACTGTGTCGGCAGATGTGAGAGTAGTCCTTGCCTTAATAATGGCACATGTCACGAAAGATATGACGGATATTGGTGCGATTGCCGATGGACCGCGTTTAAGGGACCAATTTGTGCGGACGGTAAGTGGAAAAAAATCACTTTAAATGCGAAATGAAATTGAAGAAATTGCCATTAACTTCTATTATTATTATTTACAGAGATTGGCGTGAATATGCGACCTAGTTCGATGATAAAATATGACTTTATGGGCAGTTGGCGTTCCACTATCGCTGAGAAAATCCGCGTTGGCTTTACGACGACCAATCCGAAAGGTTTCTTGTTAGGCCTGTTCTCCAATATCTCTGGAGAGTATATGACTATAATGATTTCAAACAGCGGACATCTAAGAGTAGTTTTTGATTTCGGTTTCGAACGGCAAGAGGTCATATTCCCATACAAGCACTTCGGTTTGGGGCAATATCACGACATCAGAATCGGTAGGAAAAATTCGGGATCTACTCTGGTGATGCAAATCGACAATTATGAGCCGCGGGAGTTCAATTTTAATATAAAGAACTCAGCGGACGCGCAATTCAACAACATCCAGTATATGTACATCGGCAGGAACGAGTCTATGACGGAGGGATTCGCGGGTTGCATATCGAGGGTCGAATTTGATGACATATATCCGTTGAAGCTACTCTTCCAGGAAAACGGACCTATCAACGTGCGCTCGATTGGTACTCCTTTGACCGAGGATTTCTGCGGAGTCGAGCCGATCACACATCCACCGGATATCATAGAGACGCGACCACCGCCAGAAGTAGACGAGGAAAAAGTGAGAGCGGCGTACAACGAGACTGACACGGCCATTTTAGGGAGTGTACTAGCAGTCATTCTGATTGCACTTGTAATCATGGCGATTCTTATAGGTAGATATATGTCTAGGCATAAGGGCGAATATTTGACGCAAGAGGATAAAGGTGCTGAGATCGCTCTGGATCCGGACTCAGCGGTTGTAAACTCAGCCACCGGTCATCAAGTCCAGAAAAAGAAAGAATGGTTCATTTAAAAATCGAAATGCATCATATTAAATATGTATGCACTGAAGAGAAGTAACGAGTACACATTAACTTAATCTAAAATACTTCATAGGTATCTTTGAAGAGTAACATCTCTTTTGCTCCATTAAACTATTTTTATCTATGTTATAATTTTATATTACACAGAAAGAATCCGAAAAAAATTGGTCAAAGCTCAACTTTTGCTCAAATTTTTGAATTTCATTACGAGATATACATAGTTTCATTAAAATTTGAATTTTTAATTGTAAGTTTAATTGTTACTTCTATTTAGAATATAAATTAAAGATCTTTTTATAAATAATATCTCCTTCTTCAAAGGATGTGACAGTATTACAAAACGGCCTAAAAACACTTTGTAAATATTTTAAAATACTTTAAAATAAACTACTACTACTAGTACTTTTGTTGCTATTCTTAATAATTTTCGAATAAACAATATGTAACACATAAGATGTGCTACATAAATTTAGCGGCTAAGAAAGTCAGAAATCACAATTAAATTTTATAATTAAATTAAATTTGAATTTCGACCAATTTTTTCGGATCTATTTCACTGCATGACATTCATTGGAAATTGTCATTTCATGTTTTTTCTTAACATATTTCTCTCGCTTCATAATTCTTCGCATAATATAACTGCCGATACGTCACACACAAACTCTTTGAGGTGCGATTGTGACAGCAAGTGATTTTTATTTTTATATTTCGCCTGCATTTATTATGCGACTAAGGAAAAGAATTTGATTGTTATATAATCATCTTTTTTAATTGAAGTATTTATTACACTTTAATTTAAATATGTATTTTTATGGTGGAGCATAAAAGAGTTTTTTATGTAACATAAATAGATTTTCCATGTACAAAGCTATCTTTACTACAGATAAAACTTATATATTTTGTTCTTTCTTTTTTTTTATAATTATTCACAGTATTAGTCGAAATGTCTACCGTCCAAAGTGCGTTTAATACTTTTTTTTAGATTTATTTTATTTTCATTTGTTTATGTGATTATATTTTACAGATTATATTTTACTTTTTTTACTTATAGATCTGCAACTCACTGTAGTAATTTAATATTAATATAGCACTAAGGATTGTAATTGTAATAATAATAACAGAAATGATAATAAGATAATATAATAACGATAATAAGAATGTAATAAGAATGATAATTGTATACTAAGCATGTAATACAAAATGATATTGTACATAAGTCATTTTTATACGAATAGCACGATCGTTATTTCTTGCTATTAAATTGGTATGTAGTACAACGATCGAATGTTGAACAGACACGAAAACAAAAAATATGCATTTTTCACCTTTCTGTACGAACAAACTATTAATACAAATAGTAATACTCAAGTTTGGAAAAAAAAATGATCTGATACAATTATCTGAAAGAACAATGTCTTCTTTTATATAAAAGACGAATTCAATGAAAATAAATCATCTATATGTTCTATTTTTGCGTTTTTCATCGAGATTCTTTCAAATATCGGCATTTAAAATTCAAAAAAATCTATTGCATTCCTCCAAAACTTAACGATTTAGATTCTAAATCATAAATGATTAAATCATAGATTCAATCATAAAATGTTCAATTACTTACCGATATTATTTATATGAAACATCTACTTACGGTTCGCCTGGCAGATTTGTCGGGTGACTGCATCCAAGTATGCCAAGATTTCTGCAAATCGCACTTGTTAGAGAAACTCGTGTCGTTACTCCTTTTGATCTTTTTAAATCAAACTGCGGAAGCACAGCGCGAAAGAAATTGATTAATGCTGAGCAAATGAACTTTTAGGCACGTAAGCTGTATTTACACGTGTACTCGTCAAAAACAACTGGTCGAAATGTTTAAACATTAAAATACAATAACTTTCATAAAAGAATTCGCTACCTCCAGAGCAGTGTTGACTTCTCCTCGCGTGCGCGACGCGTGTCCCCTCTCGATATATCTACATTTTTGTCTATCCTACATTTAGAAGGTAAAGTCGCTAGAACAGTCTATAAATATACATATAAATGTCTCTTGTCCTTAATGAGTAAAGAATTTCAGTGCGTATTTATAATAAAAGTGTCTTTTTGATATCACTCGTCTTTTTTTTTTTTCAGATTGCTCTCCATTTTCCACGGCTGTATAAATGCCACGTTCCATTTTTTCGCGTATGCGCCAGTCTCGTAACTTGTGTGTAATTAAACTTATTTTTCGTGAGCCACGATTATTTAACTTGGAAACGCGAAATGCGAGTCGATTACAATTGATACGTCAAATCAATTGTAATTTTCTTTATTTTCTATCGAGAAGCCTCGCTACTTCCCCGATCGTTAGTTGAAATTTAACAACGAAATTAAATAATGAGCTTGCAACTACGAATTCTTTGGGACAGACCGATCGTACATAGCATGTTCCAGGTAACAAATTCAATGTTGTTTAATTGACTAAACAGAGACGTCAGCGTGAATTAATAGAGATAGCGATTTCTCTTAAGTATGCTATTTTTTAAACACGCTTCATACGATAAATTTTATCAGCATTTTTTTCTCTCACTAAATCAAATAAACGTAACAACGTGTCTGAAAGACAGAGAAGAAAAATTGCCACTTATGAAAATCGTCGCGCAACAAGAAATATTATGATACAAAATATTTCAAGTACTGTACTCGGAATGAATCACTGCGGTAATCATATTTGATTAGTAATATTTAACGCAATGCGAAGACAGTTTGTCGAAAGTTGCTTCCTCGGTTAGACTTTAAGATATCTGTTCCTTTATAAGTTTATCTTTCTTTCCAAAACGATTAAATGACAGATAATTGAAACATGCATCTTTTAACCCGCTTCTTATCAACTCATGAGAAATCATTCAATATTAGAACAAAAGCTGACTCAGCGAGAAATAATGTAATTTGAATTCAATTTAAACTTTGAATTTCTTCTGTTGATTCTAATGATTTCTCAAAATTATCGAAAAATATTTCAATATCATCTTATTATTTATTCAATTATTTTGATGAAAGATGAAATTACGTATAAATACAGATATCCTAAAATGCAATTCGAAAAACGGAATATTATAATTATAATACATACATACATATATACAGAATGATTCTTAATTATACAATACTTCGATGTGAATCTAGAATCTAAACGAGAACAAATATGAACGTATCATTTAAGTTTTTCTGAGTTATAATAAATTGCAGAAAATATTTTAAAATATCAGACCGTACTTATGTTAACTTGTTATAAATGACAAAACCTAAACAATCCGTGTAACATATTTTTGTTCTATACTTTAGATTAAAGATTTTCCTAAAGCATTGACATTATTAAGAACCGTCTTGTATATCACACATATATAATAAATCGCGAATCCTTAGATATATTACGATCTCTTTGAGCATCGCGTCAAATCACTTGGAACACGCACGGTGAACACGCATGAGTTTTTCAATTGGCTCCATATTTACGCAGATACCTCCGAAAAATCAACATATATATAATAATTTATTCATTATATTACAATAAATCGTTCTACATAATGAAGAAGAGAGCGATTGTTACAGCGCGGTCAGCGCCGAATTTCGATGACTCGACAGGAAGGGGCGGTGAGGATGAGGCCTGCCCGCCGATTCCGACGACAACGAGGGTCACTCGCCAACGATCGCCCAAGATAGCGGCGAGATAGCGTATCACTGATATGCACGAGGGAGAGGGCTTTGGGTTTAATTACAGTCGCTTAAGTACACGTGTTCCGCGTACACGGGCGGGTGAAGCCGCTACGGGTGGGACCACTAGGAGGCCGAGGTGTACCAGCCGTTCGTCGTCGACTTGTTGCTCGGGTGGTAGATGTGAAAGCCGGCGCTACTGGCCGGATGATGGTAGAACTGCGGTTGTTCCGTCAGACCCGCCGAGGCGTACGCCGCTGCAGCGTCTAAGGCACTCGGATGAACAGTGGCCGAGTACACCTGGGGTTTCAAGGGTAACGGCTGGGCCGGTTCGTACTGGTGACGGAGAACGGGATCCGCGTACGAGCCTTCGTAACTGCTTATCACATTCACAGGATGCAGCTGCTGCTGCTGCTGCTGCTGCTGCTGCTGTTGCTGCTGCTGCTGTTGCTGTTGTTGCTGTTGTTGTTGCTGTTTGTCTCGTGGCGAGACCGACGACGGCGGTGTCATCGCCGAGTGATAGTCCACCGAATAGCCAGCCGCGGTGGCGGACGTGTACGACGAGACCAGACTGGTGAAAGCGTCGGCACAGCTGGTGCCGTTCGATCCCTTTTGATTGTGAGCGGCGAGAACGAATTGATGCTCGCCGTATGTGCTGGATCCCTCCGAGCCCGGTGGCGTTGGGAGAGGTCCGTTAGGAGCAGTTTCGCCCGGGTAATAGATGCCGGCCGACGTGGGAGCGCGCGTACCGCCGCTCGACGTGATCCCGTGCACGTTTGCGCGTATCACGCTCTCTCGATTGGCGGCGTAGAGCTGTCTGAGAAGCGCGGAGGCGGGTAACGGGGCGGTGGCGGACTGTTGCGGACTCAAGTGGCCCAGGTGATGGTGCGCCCCGATCCACTGTATCGTGCTCCGTTGCTGTTGCTGCTTCAGCAACGCGTCCGTGCTGAAGTCCGTCGGTTGGTGAAGCGCCGCTGGTGAGTTGGACTTGTTCAGCGAGCTTCCCGGCAGGTGCTTCGACATAGCCTGCTCCAGATCCTTCACCGAGGTCCCCGTGCTCTCGGCGCTGTCCATCCTGCCGCCCTCGGCGCGGCGCGACTTCGGACTGGTCGCACAGAGCGCCTGCTCGGTGGCTGAGATCGAGTGCGTGGACGTCGCACCAGGACTAAGCGCGCGAGTTCTCTCACTGTTCGACTCCTTCACCGTGGCCTCCTCCTCGTCCTCCTCGTCCTCGTTGGAGCTGCTGTCGTCGTCGTGGATCTTCCGCTTGTGCCCTCGTAATCTCACTACGAGCGTGCCGAGATTCCCGACCGCCGTCTGCGACTCTTGCTGCAATTGGGCTATATTGTCGTGATGCCGGCTACCTCGTTTCTCGCTCTCCGACGCGTGGCTCTCCTCCTGCTCCTCAGGCGGCGACCGGTGCGACTGTTCCTGATGCTGATTCGCGGGGCCGCCCCGACTACGACCCTCTAAAATCAAAAGTTGCAACGAATATTGCCTCAAGACGGAGGAAGACGAGAGCCTGCCGGGATCGGTAGCCCGGAGAAAACGGTACATCTCGCTAAATCAAAGAACGTTTTGTACCTCCTCGGTCGGCGTCCGGTGATCCGTTCTCCGGATCATTTCCAGCCGTGTCTTCCCTCTTGACGCCGGTCACCCCGTCCTCCAATTGACAGCAGTCCATAATCAAGTTCTCGTATTCCCGGCCACTATAAAGAAAAGAAAAAAGATAAACAAACGCGATAAGATTTAACGAAAAAAGCAAGTCGCTCATTCTCGTTTACTCGACGATTCACCTTATGACGTAATTGACGCAAATGATATTTTGCTCCTCGGCATTTTTCGAATTGCACACGACGGTAGCGCACGTCTGCAGCCACGTGTACCCGCCACTCTTGTTCATCAGCCGGTAATAATGTGTCAGCACTTGTCCTTTATGGATCACTGAAATGAAAATGAGCAGCTGAACGTTTTTCGAGGCTCTCCCGAATTTCATCCGATTCAAAAATATCGCTCGCCAAAACATCAGCTCTAATCTCCTATTAAATCTCCTATTTTTTCAAGCGCCTCGCGCTTTCTCGGAGGTATTATTTACAATTAGCGTCGAAGCTACCGTTTGTACGATGATGTGAAAAGAAGATAGGCATTCCTTATACATCGGGAATGCGAATCTTGATCAATCGTTTGTTTCCCGGGCTGAGTACGTTCGATTCCATCTCTGTATAATGCTCTCAGAAATCGCGTCTGTACACAGAAAGAAAAAGTAATGTCGGGCCAACACTATTAAGCATAACAAAAGAAAATAATCTTGATAGTTCAATAATTAAATAAATAAATATATGTATTCAATTAACAAGATTATTTTCAATTATATCTCATGCTATGGACTCGACGTCTTTTTTTCTCGGTGTAGTTTGTCCCGTAAGAGATAATTTGTTAAAAGAGTTCTTTCTCGTTCAACTAATTGAGACCATCGACAATTTTCCGTATAATTATCTTTGACTATGTGCTCATTGTGTGTGTGTGTGTGTGTGTGTGTGTGTGTGTGTGTGTGTGTGTGTCGAAGAATAGCTACTCGCTGTCCGAGGGATCGAAGACACGTTAAAATGCCTCGTGAGTAAAGTTTTACATTTAACATAAAATTAAATATTCTCACGTGTACATTAATACATTAATTCAGAAACTCTGCGCGTTATTCGAAAATCAACGCCCAAATTAATGAAAGAGCGATTTACAAGGGAATGGCGCGAGTTTATGGTTGCGATTGCGAACACAAGCTGCGCGATCGAGTAATCATCCCCAACGCCTACGTGACTAACAGTCTCATTTGTAACGTTCAAATACAAACAGATACGTACTTACTAAATCTGCAAGCGGTCGCGCGCAGTCGAAAAGACCAACGTATTAATACTTTCGTGCTTTTCTCTCTTCCCGGACAGCTTTGACACCCATCGCGCTCTTTCACCAAAGTATTTTCCTAGAACAGTAGGAGCAAGAAATTCTGCGTGGCAGATCTATCGGCTTTGTTTGTTGGGAACGTATGTATATGAATAAACATGACGGCTCTATTTTTTTTCACGAATTGTCTCCCGAGTATAAACAGCAGCGAAAAAAAAAAGAGACAGAAGCAAATTTACTATTTTACATTTTGCGCTGTGACAAAAAGAGGTACTCTGTCCCCTCTGTTGCACGCCATTAAAATATTATTAATTTAATCCTTATCTGTCGATTTTATTTAGCAGCCCGACACTGCTCACGTTAGTCAAAGAAATCCCTCGAGATTAATTTTTGCTTAACATAAATTTTAATTTTTCGGAATTTACGCTCTCTCGATTGCAAATTTAGTTTTTGCAAATTTTGCAAAAACTTGTTTCCTTCCTCACAATTATTTCTTTTCACTCTCGATGCTTCTTATTTATCTTGTAAGCCCCGTTTATTTTTCATCTTTCGGCATTTTGGACTACACGAGATACCGCTGCAGAGAAGCACATCGTCGGTCTTAGATGGGAAAAGTTACCTCCCGCGATCGCATCCGTCACAATGACGTAATACTCGCAAAGGTTCGCGTGATTTGAAGACAAATTATAAGAATCCGAGATTTGCGCGTGTACATTCCTTCGAACATTACACAGAAATTGGGGAGCGCGAAGCGAGGACATCCTCTCGCGAGTGTGTGAGACTTTGCGCGCGATCGTGCAAACGGTACTCCCTCGACTTGGCTACGTAATCGAACGTGGCGAACGTAATTCATGACCAGTCATACTCACGATCTATGTGGGACTTCCGGAGGCGGTTCGCGTCCTCGCCGTGACACAGCGTGTAGAGATTCTTCCCCGTCAATTCGTCGGCGGTGTAGTCCAGCAGCTCGGAAACTCTGGCGAACACGAATTACGACGCTTTCGTTTATAAACTCGTTCTTTTTAATAGAAAAAGAAAACGCGATACGCGAGGAAATGCAGAATTTAATTTATGCAGGATTGTATATTCATGTGGATATCCTGATATAAATTATATTTAAACATTTACACTTTTAATAATTTATGTACGTTATAAAAGCGCGAAAAGAGATATCCAATGCCCGTGTTGATTTAGATCCGATGATACTCACTTTGGTTCGCAATGCGCTATCCGAAAGTCAAAATTGATCCGTGTGACAAACATGTCGGTCTCGAGACGAATTTCGTGCACGCTGGGCGGTGGAAGTGCGATGGCCAGTCCGACCATGCCCATCAAAGGTGGTGCGGACTTTCTCGTGTGGCTGAATATAAACTGCGGCCTCAAACGACACAGTAATAGCACGACCTGCGTACATGCGCAGAAAAAAGCTATAATATTCTAAATAGCAACATATTACTTTTTGTTATTAATATAATAATGTTTTATAAAGAATATAAAATTGTCTCAAGTAATATTAATTATTAGGAAAAATTATTTTGTTGAATTATCTAAAAATTTGACTAAATGACAGATTTGAAAATAATTTTATTGGGCTATAAAAATAATTACGTAGGACGCTGAAATATAATAATAATATTGCAAAAAACTTTTGAGATTCTAGCAATCAGTTGAAACATTTTATATAATTATTTTAGTATTTCCAACAAAACTATTATTTTTGTTTAAAATTATTATTTTCAAATTTGTATCTGTTAAATTTTTAGATATTTCAGTACGATTAGATTTTTCCATATATAAGAAGATGAGCAAGTCGGAATATTATTAGAATTTTATTAAGCATAATTTCGCTTACCCGATAGCCTGATGATTTGAAATGACACCCCCTCTTCGTTAAAGTAGACTTCATCCTGACGCAAAACGCCCGGTCGTACCCCTTGTAAAGTCCGCTCGCCGACAGCGACATTACCGAGGACACTGAGAATAGATATGTACAAGAAAGAATTGAATCTTCGTTCTCGAGGATATTCTTGGATATCTTTCGTATCCCTCAATCTTTTCACTATACAAAGGCAACTATCAGGATTATTTAAATTTATTCGCCACAATATCATTACGTCCTCTTTTGAAAAGTATTTCGAAAGAAATTTATAGATGATTAAAATAATCGTCTTTTAAGGTAGAAAGAAATCAGCTTGAAAATACGAGCCTATATCAAATCGCAATCAATCTTCGCGGATCAAAGGTCAACGGGCAACGCGACGTAACGAAGAGATTTACCGTCGGGATTTGCGGTGGAGGACGAACCGTGATCCTCCGACGCGCCGCTGCTCGGCGAGGCTAGACCGGAATTCGATGAGTGCGGGGCCGAAGTGCTCGACGACGATGCGAGACCCAGACCGAGCTGCTCGGCGACCTCGGCGTGATCTTGCTGATGGACGTAGTCGAAAACGCTCGACCCCGTCATTTCTACCTGGAATTAAAAACGACGGGTCTTCCCTTTTTCACGGCGGGATTTATCTCTCGTCCCGACAGAAGAGTGTCCGCCGGGAGACGAAATCGTCGGCCGTGTCTCGGTGTGCGAGGTACGCAGGGGTACGCAGGGCCTGGACGAAGCAAACGGGGGAGGCAAACGGACGCCGCCGCCGCGGCCGCGGGGGCGCAGCCATGTTTGTGCCAACGTCGGCTTTCCCGTCGGTTTTCCGAATCCCCGAAACACCCTATTGATTGCCCCACGAGCTTCGCAGAGAACCGAGAGGCTAGAGCTACACCGGTCACCTCCCGTACCCTCCTCCGCCCCGCTTTACCCCCCCGGCCGCCGCTCTTCTCCACTCTCTTTCCCCGTCCACCTTCTCGCTCGCGGCATTAGGAATGGCGAACACGCCGCCGTGCAGAGGCTACGTGAGCCGCATGCGACCACCTCCGCCCGCCGCCATCCACCCATCCCATCCTCCCCTTCCTCCCCCCTCGAACCCCCCGTTCTATGTCATGCTCGCCGTCGTGCCAGCCAGTATGGCCGCCA